TCAGCTCAGGCAAAGATCAGAAAGGTGGATGTTTTCTCTTTATAATATTTACATTTTGGGGATTGGAGGTGAAGTTCAGTTGGTAGAGTGCTTGTCTAACACGCACAAAGCCCCGGGTTTGGTTGCTACTACTGCATAAACCAAGTGTGGTAATTCATCATGCTTGGAATCCCAGCGCTAAAGATATTGGGAAAGAAAGATCAGGAGTTCAAGGTTATTCTGGTGCCACAGGGGGAATCTGAGGCCAGTTTTGGATATAAGAAACCTTGCCTCAACAAGCAAACACAAACACACGAATGGAAGGAAGAAAAGAATATTTATATCCTGGCATAAAACATATGAAGCTCCTGTCCAAAACCCAAGTCTAGTTTGTTCTCTGAATCTTAAGACAAAATTTCATTTTCCTATGGCTGTTCTCATGGTGAAGGTACCAGCAAGGCAGGCTACCTGATTGGTTTTTTTGTTTGTTTGTTTTTGTTTTTGTCTTACGAACAGGGTTTCTCTGTGAAGTCCTGGCTGTCCTGGAACTCCCCCTGTAGACCAGACTGGCCTCAAACTCACAGAGATCCACCTGCCTCTGCCTCTGCCTCTGCCTCCTGAGAGCTGGGATTAAAGGTGTGCACCACCACCACCCAGCCTGTCTTTTTTTTTTAACCCTTCCCCTCCCCCCGATAATTCTTAATATGAACTCTCTGGGGACAATAGGCCTGAGACCCTAGAGTCCCAGCTAGTCACGTTCTCACCCTGGTACTTTCATAGTTCCTGCGTCCAACCCCTGAAGATGCTCGCACCAGCCCGCGTTCACTCAGAGGGGAGGCACTAAACATGGCTGGGATCCACTTTGTTGGGCCTGACGATCATTTTTTGCTTGTCTCATTCCTCTTGTCTAACGGGAAGGAAGCGTGTGCAGGAAAGCCTTGTGGGGCTTGGGCTTCATTTCACTCTGAGTGATGTTCTTTTGAAGGTCAAAGCTCAGCAAAACACCGTTCCAGAAATCCTCTGATTAAGATTCGCTTCGGGAAGGCTGGATAAAAGAATGACTCCCAGAACAGCATCCCACTATGACTCAGCTTTAACCATGGGCATTTTGTTAAGAAGCAGCTGATTTTGTAAGAAACTTTGTTTAAAAATATCTCTCCTGTTCTCCCCAGGGGAGTTCCACCATATAAGCTGAAGGAACAGTGATGTCTAGATGCCTCAGAAAGTCAGAGGAGGGTTTTTATCGTAATTGTGGAAGGTCATAAATATTTTTTATAAGCCCTTTGGGGGCTATGGGATGGATATACGTATACAAAAAATTTTGCTTTTGAAAAATACATTTTGTAATTAAATTACCTCCACTGCTTGAGAATGTCTTCTCTCTAGAACAATAGCTCTCAGATTTGAGCATGAATTAGAATCACGGGGAGGGCTTGTTAAGTCCTAAACTGTTGGTTTTTGACGACACTGTGAGAAGTATTGATTTAGGAGATTATAAATTATTGAAAACCTGGCTGCACATTAAAAAGTCCTCTGCATAGCTCTAAAATAATACTCTATGACTGACCACCCAGATCAGCTGAAGCATAGCGTTATGTGGGGGAGCCTGTGCTTAGAATGTTCCAGAAGTAACCCGGAATATTCTGATCTGTAGCCAGAACCGGCAGTCTTTGTTCTGGATGAAATTTGATAATCTCACTGCCTTCAAAAGTCATGCTACGGAATCAGCTGGCAGACGGTGCCCGGAAGAGTTAACAAACCCCAACGTGGCTGGTGGGCTGTGCACCGGCTCTGGGTGCTTGTTGGGCACAGATGTCAGCCTTGCAGTGTGGCATCCTGCTATGTCAGTGAGAAGCAGCTTCTTGAGGGAGTTTGTGGGCTGCGCTATCAGCAAGGTTGCAAAAGGCTCTCAGGGAGTTTTCCGCTGCCCGATAACTAGCGGGGTGGCCTGAGGTGGGGACGGTTCACGGTGTGGTCTGCTGAATGATAGGCAGCCCGGCCAAGTTAGAGGACAATGAGTCGCTTCAGGGCTTTAAAAGAAAAACAGGAGATAAGGATTTGTTACTTTCTCCATCATTTTCTCATTTGGGCCCCCAGCAGCCACAGCTCAAAGATGAGAGAATGATCCATGTGCGTACGAATGGCCAAAGTTCAATGCAGTTAGGGAAAATTTTAAGTTTATAGGTCAAGGCTGGGGCAGGGCTCCCATTTGAACCTGGCACTGTTAGAGGCCAAAGGGGAGAGACCTTTTGGTGCCACAAGAACCACGGATGTGTTATAGAGTTGGCTATAAGTCTCAGTCTCTGTGCAAAGGGAAAACATGGGGTCTCTTGCTCAGAAATTATTAAGAATTCCAAATAGCTCCAGCAGATCGTTAGCCCTGGCCTGGGGCCCTGCGCAGATACAATATGCCTAGGAATGCAGGCCCACTGCCGGGTTTTAGCCCCACTGAACATTCAGATCAAATAAGAACATTTCTCAGAGAGTTGTGGTGGGGAAGATAAGAGCCCCAGAACTGAGGTGTTGGTACTGGGTCAGGAGTCCATTCTCCTGCTAACTTTGGTGCTATCTGACGTTTTGGAGTTTTCATTTACTCCTCCATAACTCCAAGAGGGACAGAGGTGGTAACAGACCATGTGTTTAGCATGGTGGCTGTGATGGAGGTCCCACAGGTTTGTTTGTGGGGTGCTAGGGATCAACCCACAAATCTTGTTTTGCTAGGCAAGCATTCTACCACCAAGCCATGTCCTGGCCTGGATGAAGGACTCTGCATCCACCCTTCTAGAGTTCTGACTGTGGTTCTGTTAGATTTTGGTTATGTGTCTGTCGGCAGGAGCCACCATTTCTTCACCTGTGCGGTGGAGATTACCATAAGGACTAAAGGCGAGGCAATCGTGGTGATGCACAGACTGATAAAAATGGGGTAATTTAAGATAGAAGAGCTAGCTGGAAAGACGCCTATGCTATTGGCCAAACAGTGTTGTATTAAAAAACAAAAACAAAACACCTCCCCCAAAACAACAACAATAAAAGAAAAGTGAGGCGAATCCCTTACAATAACTTGTAAATAGTGCTATATTTGTTGTTGGTAATTTCTCCTATGAATCATAGGTTTGAGTATAAGAATCAATGTTCTTTTCTTCACCATGTTTCATTTTTTAAATTAAGAAAAAAAAACATCTATAGCTTTTTCCTAAGCAAAAGCATTTGTGAAATCACAGGATTCCCACATTGGGAGTTTTTAATTTTTAAATGGGAAAGAGTAGGATTGTAAAGCATTATAGAAAGCTCACACAAATAGGCCCTGAAGCTATCCGTGCCTTGACTCATGGGGTGGGCGCCTGGCTGTGACCCTGACCCTGCTCTGGATACAGAAGCCCTTCTAGTTTTTCCTGTCCAATGAACCTGTCCACATGTATTGCTATCTTTGCCTCCTTCACTTGTCAGCCACAGAACTAAAATCTTTTCACCCTCTTCCATCTTTTCACTTCTGTCCAGAGCAGTCTCCCTTGGCTACAGTGGAAACGTGGGTAAGGAGAGATGCGAACTTGTTAATAAATGGGGAAATCCACAATGTGTCAGTGGGGTTCTCTCAAGAAAACCCACTAATCTTAACAGAGAATTAAGCTATAGAAAGGCCAAGAGAGAATGTTTCGGGAAGACACACTGTGGCCCGGAGAATGGGAACCTCTGGGAGAAACTTGCCCTTCTGTTTGGTTGCCGCTTTTCCTCCCTCCTTTTCATGAAGTCTCCCATCAGGCCCCACACACACCCTATTTCCTCCAAGTGCTTTCTGGATATTCTCACTTTTTTCTCTCTGGAAAAGTACTTCACAGTCGTTTAAGATGTGTTCCTTGAGCATGTCCCCCAGGCTGTTTGTTCTAGGCACACATTGGACACCCGTGTCCCCTGGCCTCAAGTAGCGGGCTGCGAATCAAAGTGAGCGTCTGTCTTGTTAACCTGATGAGGTGATCCTTGGTTGTTCGTCCTCTTGCTTTGGGCAGGAAATGCCAAGTGTGTGACTCTCCTGCTCTGCAAAGCTCTGGAGGAGACCCTCTGGGCCACCAAAGACTTAACAACATTGACAAATGAACCTTAAAATTTGCTGAGGTGCCCCTCTCAAGTTATCCCCACCCATGCCCAGCTGCCCCATAAACACCGGCAATGGTCAGATAAGATCAATGTGGAACCAAAGTGCAATTCAATTGACCACAAAGTCAGATTAGAGTTCTTAAGAAAGAGTGGGTTTTCTCCAAGTCAGTGGAGGTGAGTTTGAGAGCAGCGGGGGTTAAACCAGAAGAGGGAAGGATGGAGGCTCTAGCAGAGTTAGCTCCCTCATCAAGGACGGATGAAGGTCAGCGAGGACCAAGGTGCGGTGGGCACCTCCCACGGACATTTCACAGGGTAACACGAGGGCCTGGGGGGAGGGAGGGAACCTTGAATATTTACAAAAGCCAGAATGAGGTGAGAGCTGTGAAGTGGTGCCATAGTAAAACTGTGTCCGAAAAACAATGCCCCAGTCCACGCACGGTTCAGGCTGTGTTTCTTTTTTAAAACAATTAGACTGTGACTGACCTTTTAGTTTAATTTGACCAAATTAAGATCAATGAATTCCTTTATAATTTACCATAATTTTTAGTGTCTAAGACGATTCCAGCCAACCTTCCCCCACATCCCATCATATTTCCCTCTGGTACTTTTACACCTTAAAAAAATGGGTATTCATTTTAACCAACCCTTTTCTGGCTCTATGTTATGTTCACACAAGAACTTTCAATAGTTATGTATTTAATGAAGTCATGGATTGATAAGCATCATTCTTCTAGAACCAGTGACCAAGAGCACATCAGGCAGAATAGGGTCAACTGGCTTTATTGACCAACGAAGAAAGCGTGGGTCTATAGAACCAGCCCAAATTCTCTAAGAATGGAGGTGTCCCGTCCAGTTAGGGAGTAAAGTTGGTACAAACCTGTTCAAGACCTTATAAAGGGGATGCCCAAGGCTCCGGAGGACTTGCTTACCCACAAAGCACCAGACTGCGAACCGGATCCATGTGATGGTGGAGAGCTTCAGCATGAGATAGATATTCACCAGCATGGCAAAGGCGGGCACAAAGGGGAGGCAGGGGGCCATGTACGGCAGCTTCTTGGGGTTCTCCGGCTGCTGCAGGATTACAAACACCAGCACGCCGATCAGCAGCACCATCAGAACCACCAGGAGGATGGCCCACCAGCTCTGGCCCGAGATGTAGTCGGAGCCAAAGATGACGAAGGAGCAGAAGATGAACATGAGGATGAAGAGCAGGAGCACGCAGATGGTCACCGTGTGCCCCGTTGCTGCCGTGGGCCGATCCATTTTGCCTGGGAGGCCCAGCCGGATTCTCATCGTGTAGTATCGGGGCCCAATCAGCTTCTTCAGCTTGATGAGATAGATGTTTTCTGATTCGTCGGCTTCTATGCCTGTGGTCATGTCCACGGTGCCGTAGTTGGGGTGGCTTACGTTGTAGGTGGACTTATCTGATTTCCCTATGAGCATCTCGTTGTCCCCCAAAGATGGCAGGTTCTTGGCCCCACAGGTGTTGGTGGCAGTGCTGGGAAACTCCTCCCCTTCACTCACAGGGGAGCAGGTTTCCTTCTCACAGTCAGCCAGGATGCCTTCCTTCTTCTTGGTGTGCTCCTCAGACAGGAACTTGACAAAGCCATCGATATCACTCTCGGGTTGGTATCGTAGGAGCAAGACACAGACAGAGACCAAGGTGTAGGCGAGGAGGGTGCCAATGGACATCATCTCTATCAGGTCCCTCAGACTGACCAGCAGTGAGAGGAGAGCAGCCAGGAACCCTGACACGATACAAGCTACTACTGGCGTCTCTGTGTAGGAGCTCACGTGAGCCAGGAACCTGGGCGGAGGAGACAAACAGAGGGTTAGGAGTCACACTGCCCATGGAGGAGTCACACTGCCCATGGAGGAGTCACACTGCCCATGGTGACTGGTTCCAACACACCAGTAGGTTAGAGCTGCAACGCTAACTTGGTGTGGTTGGCTCTTCCTGGCTCTGCCCTTCCAATTAACTTGTCTACTGCACTGTTCCCAAGGTTTGACTAGTGGGATATCATTAGAGAATTCACTTTAATTTCTTGATTTGAAGCCTTAAAAAGCCCCCAAACCCAGGCAGGGGTCCTATTCATTATGTGACAGGAAGGTTGATTGATTCTAGGGGCCCTGTCACAAATCCTCGCGGAAGCCCATGGAAGCCGGACACCTGTCAATCTGTAGCATGATCACTGTTTGCTGGGAAGGAATATTCTCACCAGTCCTACTACCTCAGAGTTTTTGGAGGTGATGTCCAGTCAACTGAACTTTAAAAGACACCACAAGTTTTCAAACCTGAGACACACTGCCATGCAACAAGAGTACAGGGATCGAGTTGGTGAAACAGCATGCCAGTAAAGGAGCTCATAGACAGGCTCAAGGGTGGTTAAAATACGGTCCCTTTTGCAGCAGGTCCTGGGAGCCTTAAAGAGGCTCCTCTGCCTCTTCTCTCCTGGCCCTGCCTCCTCCATCCTCCATTATTTCTCCCCTACAGACCACACAGAACCGTTCAGTGTGCCAGGCCGATATCATCGTTCCTCTTAGATTTTTTGTTTTTGTTTTTTATGGGTATGTGAGGCTGTCAGCTGTCACCCCATCACCCATCACCCATCAGTCCCTGTCTCCATCTACCCAGCATCCCAACGCAGCTGCTCCAACCTGGAGTGAACTCAGGGAACAGGCAGAGGAAACAGATCAGGAATTGACAGCTCGTGGCAGAAATAAAGCCCCTGAGCATGTTCTCTTGACACCTCTGAGTCTGTTCTCTTGACACCTCTGAGAGCTGCTTCACCTCCCACAGTAGGGCACATCCCGTTTCTCAGTGAAAGAGACCACTTTGTGGTTACTGAAAATGCTGAAACTTCCAAAGCTTGCTACTGGAAAGAGTCTGAGGGCCAGGCCTGGAGGGACGGCTCAGCAGTGAAGACTCTGGCTGCTCAGGTGGAGGACCTGGGCTCAGTTCTCAGCACCCACATGGCAGCTCACAGCCATCGGTAACTCCAGTTCCAGGGGTTCTGACACCCCTTCTGGCCTTTGGGAGCACTACACACTTGGTGCACGGAAACAAGCCGACCGAACACCCACACAATTGAACAATAGAAGTCTGAGTTTCAGGCCAGATAGTTCTGGCTTCAAGTTCTGGCTCACCACTCATCAGCTTCAAGGTTTGGGTCAAGACTTTTCTATCTCTTTAATTGCTGGTTTACTCATCTGCCAAATAGTGTCTGAGAGACAAGGGGACACAGCACACAGAGCTCCCAGCTGCCCTAACTGTCCCACAAACGACAGTTACTGTAACAACTGCCATGTTATCATTAGAGGATTTTCTCTCCTCTCTGACTTTTGAATGTTTTCAGCTTCAGGGGGCTTTGGGAAAGAAACCTGTTCTCACTAGGAGGCAGGCCAAGAGGCCCTTGGGTTAGGTCTCACTAAGAGGCAGGCCAAGAGGCCCCTGGGTTCTTTCTTCTGAAAGTGATGTCACCTTCTAGGCAGCGATTTTGACCCACTGCCCCCACAAGGAAATGCGTGTCACAGGAGGGAGACACGCACACATCCCCTGGTTCTGGACTGAGGGACCTAGAGTCAACTACAGGCCATTTCAGAGTCTGAGCTCTTTAGAACCAGACTTTGACAAGCTTGTTAGTCTTTAGGAAAGGTAGCCATGAAGCTGAGTGTCAGTGGGTGACAGTCCTCCTGGAGAGGAACAGCAGAGGGGAAATCGTTTCTGGGGGACCCCTTACCTGAAAAGCAGCCCATCACCAGCCATGGCATAAATGACTCTGGGCATGGGGAACAGCGAGCCCAGCAGGCTGACTGTCAGTCCTGCCACCGACCCGATAGCCACTACGAACTTTGCAGCATAGAAGCCATGGGCCACAAACATCTCCATGAGGGGGGACTCCGTGTCGATGGCATAGTATGGCACCATTAGCGTTAAGATCATGCTCACCTATCAAGACAAAAGAAGACAGACTGGAGGCAGAGGAGACGGGCAGCATGGGTGGGTGACCCCGACCTGGAGACAGAGACTTTTCTGGTACCATGGAGCCATTAACTGGCATGTGGCTTTTGTGGAGATCATTTGGTCTCCATGTTTTTTCCCCACTTTTGCTTTTGGTATTTGGGACCAAATGATCTTCAAAATGTCTCTGTGGCCTTTTCCTTTGTGAGGATAAACCCACAGCTGTTTCAAGCCTCACAGAAACAGATCTATCCTGAGACATCTCCGGATGGAAGGAGCTGTAGCCAGGGTCGCAAGTGCCCCAGCCCTAAGGATGAGGCTCTCACTCCTTCTTCCTCTTCTATTTTATAATTGTGTGTTTTTCAATATTTGTGTGTGTGCAAGCATGTGTGTGTGCATGTATGTGTGTGTTTGAATGTGTGTGCACGTGCATTTGTGCATGTGTGTGTCTGTGTACTTGTGTGTTCATGTGTGTATCTCTGTGTGTGTGCCTGTATGTACACATGCGTGTGTGTGTGTAGGCTGAAGCACATCTTGGGGCAGCTCAATTCTCTTCTGTCATGTGGTTTGTGGGGATCCATCTCAGGTTGTCTGCTTCGCAGCAAGCACCTTTACCCACTGGGCTATGTCACCAGGATAAGGCTTTTACTTCTTTCATTTCTTTAGGACGCTACTGGTTCTGATCTGTCCTTATCACTCCAAGTCTTGGAGGCCCAAACACTAGAAGTGTTTGACATTCCCACAGACAGTGAGCTGACGGCGTCACAATGAGGACTCATAATTCATTTCTTCTCTCTGCTTTAGTGCAGAGGGATCCCATTATGCTTTGCGAAGCCACCGTGTCTCTACTTAACCAGGGTACACTTGTCTGGGGACTCCTGTAAGAGTACTGTTTTTTCCTTTCTATGCCCAAGATCTGCTGAAAAATTGATTTTTTTTAAAGCATTGACCCTAAAAAATGGAGCCAGCAGTCACACTGGCATGTAAAAACATCCCTGATACCAAGAAGGGAATTGAAATGGAGAGGGAGGTCACATCAGACCACTTCCTTGCCTGATCCTCGGGAGTCAAGGCCCCCATGGAAGCTATGGGTGACCAGAGAAGGCAGCAGAATACGGTATAGCAGCCCAGCCCCTTGGTGGTCAGTGACTGTTTCCTGACCCCCGAGGCACGGCTAAGGCCTGTGGAGTCTGAAAGACAGTGGCCCTCCAGGGGGTGTCACTTGTCACATCACCTTTGAGGATGCAGTAGAGTGCTGGAGGAGTGTGATTGAGTCTCATAGCAAACCCCAGAGTCTTCCAGCCACACCGACCAGAATGGGTTAAGCTGCCAGTGTGGGATACACAAGAGGATTCCGTAATCTAGAAAGTGCTACTGAAGGAAAGAGCCACGGTGGTGAGCTTACTGTGTATGCACGCTGCCAGGGTCTACTCTACAGGAGGGGTGGAATGATGGAAAGGTGGAAGGAGACCAACAGGGCAGAGGAGAGCTCTTGCTCCTGCCCGGCTCCGTCTCCCACAATGTAGGATAATCGGGGTCTGGATAGAATATGAAGCCACTTGAGTGTGTGTTCCCAGAGGGAAGTGATAATTGGCCCATTCATAAAATGTCTGGGTGGGCAACTGAATTTTTATCAATAGACAATCTTGTTTTGTATCTTGCCTTATCATTTGGTCAATATTCCTTAAGTCATGGCTAAAGATAATTTTTTTTTTTTGGAGTGATGAGAGTCGGCCAGTATGATAGAATGTACCCCATCCTGAGTTTTTCCTAATTTCCATGACTTTGCTCATTGGACATGTATGTTTCATCAGATTAGCATATTGGAATCTTTGGGGGGGGTGGCATCCACCCTGGATACTGTCTTTTTTCCTGAATGTGGTGATGCAGATAGACTTTCAGAATCAGGGAGTGTCCACGTCCCGGTGGCTGGTCAGGTGGTTCTAGGGGCTAAGAAGAAGTTGGATGAGGTTAACAATTTCTGTGAGAGAAATTCTGCCGTGGGGACTGCGAAGTGTGTGTGGGAGCTTATTCGTGCATCCTGAGGAGACTAGGCTGGAGGCTTCGCTCTGTGGGAAACCCCAAGGGTGAGTCTGAGTTGGTGTTAGGAGACCAAGCTGAAAAGAGTTGCATTTCTCTCCAGATTTCAGGGCTAGGGTGTCTCCCAAGGACAGCGTGTTCTCTCACTCCCTCTGTGGGAGCCTTGCTTCTCCACTGCCGGGAAGCTCCCAGAAGACAGAAGCGCATTGAGGGCTGTGCACAGAGGCCACCCGTTACTGCCAGCCTATGACCTGGGTTGCTTGGCCGACAGCCCACTCCTTGCACACTGTCCCTAGGCGTAGGATCGGGTAGGGATGGGGACGTGAGAGGCACAGGCTGAGGTGAGGGTCGGTGGGTTTTCTTTTCCTCCATTTTGAGGTCCTGAGTTTCTTTTTCTCATTGACAGGTAGAGCAACAGGGGACACAAGGAAACAGCGTGCATGTACCAACACAGACTGAGGAGAAGTCTGTCCTGAGAGAGGAGGCGTTGGTCCGACAGCCACATTTGTTGTTGTGAACGTGTATATGTATGTGTGAGTGCGAATGTGAGCATGCGTGTGCATATGCAGATGTGTATAGTTGTGTGTGCAAACTGTGTAGAAGACAACCTTAAATACTCCTCAGGGACTGTTCACCGTTTTTTTAGACAGGGTCTCTCATAGGCTTAGAACTCACTGAGCAGGTGGAGCTGGCTGTCAGTGAACCCAGGCATCTGTCTGTCTGCTTCCCCAGTGCTGGGATTATGAGCACAATCGTGCCTGACTTTTGGCTCCATGTGAGTTCTCAGATCGATCTCATGTCCTTGCTCTTGCACCACGATACTGAACCTTTTAGCCCTAGGGCCAACCATCTGTCACAATAAAGTGCAAAGGTCATGCGTGGGTCCCGTCAGCATGTGGTACTTACTGTCACATACGCTGTCAGGCAGATGACCAGGGATGCAGTGATAGCGTACGGGATGGATGTGTTGGGGTTCTTGGCTTCTTCCCCAGTGGTGGCAATGATGTCAAAGCCAATGAAAGCATAGAAACACGTGGCTGCTCCTTGCAGCACCTGTAAAGATGATGACATCTGTCAGGCTCAGATGAGGGCAGAATCATGGCTTAAATGTGGTGCCCAGGACAGCCCGGCATTCTGCAGATACTCCTGAAGGGCACAGGGGAGCTGTGGAAGATTAATAGCAAACAGCCAAGTTCTGCTCTACCCGACTCTGCTGTATGACTCTGGGCATTTCCTCATGTGTTAAAAACAGGTGAGAATTTTATGGCTAAGTAAGAATTGGGTTAGTCAGCATACAAATTTTTTTTGAAAGAATAAAATAGTATGTTGTTTATCTATTTTGTGTATGTGTGGGGCATCGAACCCAGGGTCTCATGCGTGCTAGTGAGGTTCTCCACCACCGAGCTACCCTCTCAGGCCTTCTCCCCGGTGCCACCTGCTTATTTTGTACTTTATGTGTTATTTTCACCTACCAGCACTCAACCACGATGTAAGAGATTTCTGGAAATGCGGAGAGGTGTTTTTTCCCACCAGGGATACTCTGGATGTGAGCTGCTGGCCATTTGTGGGTGAGATGCATGACCTTCTGCACAAAGTATTGTTCTGCCCCAATAGGTCACCTCTGTGGTGGTGTCTAGATTGGAGGCCATGAGGCTTGGATTTCCAGAGCCTTTAAAGGAAAGATGGGGAGATGAGATTGTTTAACTCTCTGCTTCTTTGGGGATTTGAATGGCACAGTTGGGTGTGAGGCAGGTAGTTGGACAAAGTGCCAAGAGGAATGCCATTCAACCAGAAGCTTTGCTTATGTCTGTCTGCAGGATTTTAGGTGATTCCAAGGGTGGTCAGGCCTTTGGTCAAGATGTCATTGAAACCCTGCAATTGGAGACCACATGAATTTCTTTTAAGTGGGCTTTCCTAACCTTGGTAGTCTCACTATCTACTGAAAATAAAAATCTGCCTCTTTAAATAGTTGGGGTGCCCTTGCAGAAGAAGGATGGTGTGTTCTGGATGAAGACACAGCTCCAAGCTCAGAAAGGGGTGCAGGAGGACAGGGCGTGTGTAGGCTGGACTGTCCCCCTCCCTACGTGTGGTTTGTAAAGGATGTGACAAATGAATTCTAGCCCAAAGTATTAACTTCTGCACAGACTTCTTCATAATCACAAGTCAAAATCCTAGATGCTAGAGTTGGACAATGCATCGCAGATGTGAATAGCTTCTCAGGCAGTCCAGAGTCGTGTTGGCCATGTGTAAGCAAGGCAGCTTCCTTTGGAGGCTCTCAGCTGCCATGGTCAGGTTCCTGTCTCCCAGCCTAGCAGTTCTGATTCTGGGTTGGTAGGATTCGGGGAAATTTGTGAATTTTTCTGGAAAAGAATCACGTTTATATTTTCACTAGTCTGTGCTTGTGAAGATGATGAAGATGCATAGGAACATGTCGAATTAGAAAGCTATGACAGTTGAAGAAAGACCAGATCCATCAAAGACTGGGTGTTTGAGAGTCCTTCTGCATTTGAATTCAACACCGATGATGTGGGGTGCGGGGGTGGGGGATGAAACTGTTGAAGGGAATATAGGCATGGATGAGGCGATTTGATGATCCAGGAAGCATCAAAGCTTCACCTAGGAAAGCTGAAGCAGCCCTTGCCATCTATATAAGTGTAGGCGCCCAGGGCAGAGTGGTAGTCCTGGGATCCAGTGAGAGTTAGAGATGGGGAGCCGGGCTGGCCAGCAGAGCACACAGCCAGTGTGGAGCCAGGGCCAGGCAAGAGTGAGGAGGCAACACCAAGACCTTGCTCTCTTTCCATCTGCTGATTGTTTGGCAATCTCTCCCACTGGCTAAACCCTACATGCCGAGCAAGGAGGGAGTCTGGAGCACTGGACAGATGGGAAGAGTGGAGGTAGACAAGCATGAAGGAGGAAATATGGGGTGAATGTAACATACCAGGTCAAATAGACTCTGGCCTAATAAGACAGGCAAAATAAAACAAAATTAGCAGAAAGATCAACGTTTTAGTTGAGTTAGTTTTTTATTTTGTTTTGAGACAAGGTCTCCCTATGCGATCCTGGTTGCTCTCGAAGTCATGACCTGCTTACCAGTGTCTCTGGCCTGCTGGCATTACCGGTGTACACTGTCTGATAAGATTATTTCTTCTCTCTGCTTCTCTCTCTCTCTCTCTCTCTCTCTCTCTCTCTCTCTCCCTCCCCACTCTCTTTCTCTTGTAAACAAGTATGCGTACAAAGAACCTCACAAACAAAACTGAGAAGGCTTGATCATAAAAACTGATTTCTATCTCCCTCTTCCCAGATCTCATCTGGCCAGTGACATTTGCGGCTGTGATACCTGTAACACATAAGAAACCTACATGTGGTGAGTCTGTGTGGATGCTTGCCCAGATAGTTCAGAATGGGCTAACCCTGACAACAGCTCTGCAGAGAAGAAGCTCTTGCTTGCTTGATTGTCAACAGCACTGTTGTGAGTGGCTTGCTACTCAGTGTGCAGGGTCCCTAAAAGTTGAGCCTCCCAGGCTTGAGTGGTATGTGTGAGGTGTTGGGAGGAGGTAGGCTTCCCGCATTGTCTTGAGAAGCCTCAGATGTCAGAAAATAACTAGGCCCCTTTATCTAATTTACAGCCAGGGCGACAAGACAAAATGACAATGTTAATAGCATTTTTAACCACCCTCATGCCCTAGCTCTATTAGCAGTCTGTCCTCAGGGACAGCGGAATGTGTTAATAGGCTCCAACAAACGGACTCAGACAAGGAGACCACGGGAAGGAATAGCTTTCCTTTGGAGGGCTTCGGAATTCTTTGCAAATTCTTACTATGGACTATTTTCCTTGGGGCTATTTGTGCTGGTAAAATATCTTATTTGGTTAAAGACAAACCATAAGATAGCATCAGGAACAAATAACATAAAGGGCACACTCATCCAACGCTGTCCAGGGGCTGAGGAACTGCAGATGGGGGCAGGGGTTCAACTGAGGGCCGGAGTCACTTGATATAGGGGAAAATGTTTGTTGTTCTTAAGTTCTTCAAGACCAAAGAAGCACTTGACCCAGAACCTTTAAGTGAGTAAACCATTCCTTGAGCTGTTTTCTTTGGAAGGAGGTGGCTGGAAGAGGTTTGTGAGGCCCCCCGTGGCCAGAGGACTGGTTGTTCGTTAACCCTTTCATGGCACTTGCGAGCTGCGCTTAAACCAATGTGACGGTGTCCTTATGAAATCCTACCTCGTTTCCTCTTCCCCTTCCACCTAAAGCACAGCACATGCCAAGTTACTGGAACTCTGCACTAGTCCCCCTAGTTTTACGGTGGGGTTCAGGGGTTCCCGAAGCAGCATAGACATTCATGCTATGTGGGAAAACATTTTTGCTGACATTTGTTAGATAAGAGCGGGGACCATTCACCACTGTGGCAGGTGATCGAGTCATGAGAAGGTGTCAGGCTTTGGCGATACGCAATTGAAATTCACAGTGGCCTTGCTGGACAAGAACAATGATCTGGTACCACAGCTGTGAAAGATCAAGGCCAGGTTGTTCACGGGGGAGCACATGTTTGGTGCAGCAATCCCAGACCAGGCGGAGAGCAGGAGGGTGAACGACAGCGGCTCCCACGCTGTCCCTCACGCTCAGAAAATGCTTTTTACGTCACAGCACAGGCTTGAACATTTGCTCCCTTCAGGGATAATAGATGCACATTAAAACTCCAAATTCCCTGTCAGGCTCTCCTGGTGACCGATGACAAGTCTGCTCGAGTTACTGGGTGAGGTCAGTGGCCAGAGGGTTAGACAAAGCTGGGTGGCCACAAGCGGTTGAAACCAGGAGACGGTGGAGTAAATACAGACTTTGGTTCGCCCAAGGCTGGAATTCATTTCCACTAGATTGCTTACTAGCACTGTCATCTGGATAAAACGTGAGCCATTTTGGTCTGAAAGGGGAGAGAGAGCCATGATGCTGCCTGGGCTCCTAGGAAGGAGAAATGAAGCGTGTATTTGAAAGAGCTTGTCACAAAGAGATGCTACATGTGAGGGAGTCCTTGTTCCTTTTCTCCTTCACCTCTAAGTCTAGTCCTTACTTTCCTTCTATAAATGCAAGGGAGAATCCAGGGTGCATAAACCAGGGTCCCCAAAGATAGTCTGACAACTCCGTCTTGAAGCAGTGGCCTCTTGACTGGGAAAGGATGTAGAATCCCCGAAGTGGGAAGAAGATGCCCCAAGAGAATGAAGACCCCAGGATAGAGTTCCAGAGGAAAGAAAGGGTTAAAAGGTCCATCTGCTTCCTTCACAGCTGGGAAAGAGAGTGTCTCCGAGAAGGCCTCTCGCTCCTTCTAGCCCTAACAGGCTGAGCTACTGTGCACATTCAGTCCGAGAGAAGATAGGAACTTGTCATTGCTTAATGTCTCTTTCAGCTCCAAGACTCCAGCTCAGGGGCTGGAGAGATGGCTCTGCAGTTAAGAGAAGCAATTGCTCTTCCGTATGACAGGGGTTTGATTCCCAGCACCCACATGGTGGCTAACAATCATCTGTAACTCCAGTTCCAGAGGATTTGCTCCCTCTTCTGGTCTCTGCAGGTACTGCATGAACACGGTGCACAGACACACATGCAGTCAAAATACCCACGCATGCTAAAAAAAGGGAAAATTCCAATATTCTAAATCTTCGCGAAAGTTTAAAGAAAATATGTAAGATTAGTTACCTCATTGTTATTGTGATTTTATGAGCATGTGTGTTTGCATCTGTGAAGGTGTACATATGCACACATGTGCCTGCGTGTGCAGGTCCAGTATTGATGTTAAGAGTCTTCCTCAGTTGCTCTCCACAATATTCACTGAGGAAGGGCCGGTCAGTTCAGCCTGTTATCATGCCCTGGATACCCTGTCTCTAGCTTTCAATAGCTGGAATTACTGATGGGCTACCATGCCTATCTGGCTGGCATTTATATGGATTATGGGCATTCGAGTTTTGATCTTCACGTTTGTTGCCTATGCAGTAAGTGATTTACCTGGTGAGCCATCTTCCCAGCCCTCCTCCTCATTATTATTTTTAAGCATGCTTAGAGGGGAGGGGTCAGTGTAGTATACACGGGGTACTAAAAAAGAGAAGAAAGGGTCTGGGAATCACACAGCCCCTGCCCTGACTGACTGAGTGAAGTGAGACCAAGTGCATTACCAGTCCCTCAGAACCCTGTGATCTCCAAGCATATGGTGGGAGAAAACTCCACCTGCTTTAGAGCATGGCTGTAAGCGCAGGCCAGCCTTGGCAGAGCACTGGCGGGCAGCCTCTAGCATGGTAGGCAGACCGGCTCTCACAGTGCCACACAAAGGCACCCAAGGTCTCCTTTTCTGCAAGCATTTGATGGAGTTTATCTCTTCTCTTGATAATGAGGACTGGGAACACAAGTGAACTGTTGCCCAGCGTCTTCCAGTAAAGCCCTCAACCCAGTCATCCCTCACGGTGCTGAGAAAACCGTGAGAACCCTTTCATTAGTTACAGTAAGAACGCAGTCGGGGCCAGGAGACATTCCTTGTTTCCAGTCTTAGAATTTGTTGTTTCTCTTCGGCGATAGGAAAAGAACAATTTGTATCATAAGAAATGTGGACTCGGGCTCCAACAGTGTGTCTTTGTCCCTCTTTCTGGTTTCGACCAGTTTCAGCCTTTATTCATTTCAGAGAGCAGGGATGTGCTTTGTGGGTCTGTGGAATTCTTACGGATTAGCAGAAGACTCAGTTTGGGCCTAAGCGACTTGCTTATTTCTCTGCTCTGAGTAGCATGGCATAGCTTAGAATAACAGAAGTTATTTTGAGTGTTCTCCAAGAATGATTTCGGATCCCTGGACATCTTGGAGAAAAACCAATCTAAGTAAATGCTACAAAAACAAATTGGGCAGAGCCCCTCATTTGCGCTGTACCCCAACACTGGGAGGACCTGGTTCTCTGGGCCTCTGGATAGTCACTCACTTGTGAAATGAGAGGACAAGACTTGGGAACTTCTGCGATGCTGTCATCTGGAAAATTCCTAACTTAAGTTCCACCATTAAAAAAGGTCTGAATTTATTTACCAATAAGTCCACAAAATAAGTATTTTCTAGCTACACTGTAGAAAAAAGTCAGGTGGGACTGAGAGCCACCCCTTAGTACAAGGAACTCACCACCATGACTGACATTTTTGCTGTCACCAGGTCTTGGGGGGGGGAATCTGAAGGTGTCCCTTCCTCCACGCTTGCCCTCCTGTCCCTCAGACTACACCAGCCAGACTGTGTACCTCTTAGATGGAACTCAAAGCTGTCGCTCCACTGCTCTCAGACCTCAGCAGGACTCTCTTTTCAGGGCTAGATGTTGGAGTCTGATTATAAATTTTTGCCCTAATTTTACACGGAGGCAATCTCAGCCCTTCCCATTCACCCACTCTTCCTGGCTTCCTTTACCAGTTTGTCTATTTCTGCGCATGGCTGTTGCTCTTAGCAGAACTGAGCTGTTTCTACACAGTCTTTAGATCTAATACTCCTGGCTTTGGGTTCTGATTCCGCCATTGGCACAGCACTTAACAGTGAGCCACTGGCCCTCGCTGGGTGCGAGACTTTCATCCTGCAGGCCCAGGTGTGACTATTCTCTGCCCAAGGTCATTGTGATGCTGTGGTGAGATAATGCACACAGCATTTAGCATGGAGGTAGGCATGTTGAGAGAGCACACCACATCTAATATGTTACTGCTATGTGTGTAGACCGTGAAACCAGGAACCAAGTTTTGAATCGAAAGACTTCTTCAGAACATTCCCAACTGAAAAAGATATTTTCCTGAAAACATGTCTTAGCCTGTTCCCGGCGTAGAATAAACTCACCCCTGACCAGCCGTGGGGCAAGAACTGGCCCTCAGCCCAGTATTTGCCATTGACGAAGAAGAAGCCTGCGATCATGATGAATACCCACACTGCCAGGTTCAGTACATTGAGGACGTTGTTGAAGCCCACAGAATTCTTCACCCCCAGAGCCACAATGATGGTCACGATGACAGCAATCACCAGAGCCAGAAGGTCTGGGTAGGACTCCTCTCCTTTCCCTACAGGACGAAATGTGGTTAGCATTGTCTGAAGGGAAGGAAGAGCCCTGTGACTCAGTCTACCGCACTGCATCTGCCTTGCTAAGACTTGGAGAGCAGTGGCTAGTCTTTCAGGAAGAGCAGCAAAGGCTCTCTGTCTGTCTGTCTGTCTGTCTGTCTGTCAGTCATCTGTTTGTCTCCCTGTATGGCCCATGAGCAGGAATAAGTGTTTATTTGCAAATGAGGAAGTTTGGAACGCAGATAAGGTTATCTGACACCATAGATCAAAATTTGGACCATGTCCCGAGACAGCTGCAAAGTACCTGTGGAAGTCTGGCAAGTTCATGCAAAGTCAGAGCATCTGGGACATTTGTAGCACATGAATAGGTCTGACATATTCTCTGAAAGCTTCTTTCGCTTCATTATTGCTAGCCTGCAATCTGTAAGATTTCTATCCCATGTAACAATCTTTCTTTATTAGCAAGCTTCAAAATGAGCACTTTGGAAAGCCATTTTTAAGAGTTTTTCTTCTCTCTCTCTCTCATTTGCAGTGTGTGTGTGTGTGTGTGTGTGTGTGTGTGTGTGTGTGTGTGTGTGTGTGTATGGTGTGTGTGGTGTGTGTGGTGTGTGTGGTGTGGTGTGTGTGTGTGTGTCACAGAGAGCTGGCTTGGTCTGTTCTCTAGCCAGTGGACGCCTGCCCTCTATGGAGAGGAAGAAGCATTGCCTTAGCAGTCAGGGAGGAAGCCTGGATTCCAGCTGCACTTCCACCAACAGCCCGCACTGTGGGCCTCATCTGCAGAGGGAGCGAGATGCACGACTGGTTTTGGGTCATTTCAGAATTAAAATGTTATGAAATCAGAATGCAGCCACGATCTTTATCCTTATTATCATGGCATTGGGGGTGATCGGCAATGCAAAAAGAAGTCTTCTTTTTATTCTCTGTAATTTGTGCGTCTCTCTGTGTGGAGTCTGTGCAAATGAGTGCAGGTACCTGCAGAGGCCATAGGCCTCGGATGCCCTGGAGCTGGAGTTACAGGAGGTTGTGAGACACCTGATGTGGATGCTGGAACTAAGCTCATGGCCTCAGGAAAAACAGCCAGTGCTCTTAGCCACTGAGCCATCTCTTCAGCCCTGGTCAACACTTTTGTCAGATCTTTTCTGGGGTAAGCACACTGAAGTCAAGTGGTTTGACATAGCTTCAAATTTCTTTTTTGGAGTCTCCTCCCCCTCCCATGCCCCTTCACCCTCTCTCTTCTTCCCTTCCTCCTCTTCTTCTCCCCCTTCACCCCCACCATGTGTACACGCACTCTGGGGTTTGAACTCAAGGTCTCAAGTGCTCCACATAAGCACTGTGGCACTGAGCTCTATCCCCAGCTGTTCTGGGAAATTCTGGGGCAAGACTCCAAAACCTCTCCAGCTCTGAATCCTGTGAATATGGACGGACACACCAGGCATTAGGGTGGGGAGCTGGTGGCAGGTGACAGATGGTCTGTCTCTTAGCATTTGTCAGATGACCTCTGACCCACTCAGCTCTTGCTCAGTAATAAGATGCCTTGTGGGTGTTGGTTGTACTGGAATCCATTTTATTCCTTAATTTTGTTATTTAGAGTTGGGCGGTGGTGGCGTGCGCCTTTAACCCCAGCACTCGGGAGGCAGAGGCAGGCGGATCTCTGTGAGTTTGAGGCCAGCCTGGTCTACAAAGTGAGTTCCAGGACAGCCAGGGATGCTACACAGAGAAACCTTGCCTCAACTCCCCCTCCAAAATATTATTTGGAAGTGAAAACATTTATTTAGGAAAAATGAGAGAAAATTTGCAATGAAATCTCTGGTGGAGTTTCTCCAGTCCCTTTGGTTGCATTAGTTTATTTTCGTATAGTTACTGGCAGGACACATGCACACTACAGTCTATGTCCTTTGATATGTGACATATTACATATTAATACAGTCTATGTGAAGTCCTCCTCAGTCATCTTTTTAGTTGTCAGGCACATAATATGTACCCACAATTCACATGGCCATCTGTCCCGCTGAAGAATTTTTAAAAATTATTATAATTGAGCACCCATAATCTAAAAGTCTAAAATTTGAGATGCTATGGAATCTGAAAATTTTTGAGTGGCTTCCACGTGCCCCAAGTAACAAGATTCATGCATACAATGAAACTTTGTATAATGTATTGAATAATATTCTCTTCAGGCTATGTGTTTAAGAGGCATATGAAAAACCAATTTTGAGTTAGACCTGGGTGTCAATGATCAGTCCCAGCATCTTATTTTGTAGACATAAATATTTCAAAGTTTGAAAAACCCCAAGGTCAAAAACTACTGGTCCCAAGCATCTCAGATAAAAGCTGTGTATTCTTTAATAAGAAGACTGGGATGGAAGTCTTTTGTATCATGTAATCTTAGACTAATTTCTTATAGTGAAGAATTGCCTTGTAAAAATAAAAAGAAGTATTTAAAATTCTTGACATATTTTTCCAAATCAGGATATGTGTGTGTGTGTGTGTGTGTTTTCTGGGGATACCAAACTTGGGTCCTCAGCTTGCCCAGTAGATACTGTACCCACTGAGCCATCTTTCCAGCCTCCAAGTTGTGTTCTTAGAGGGGAATATATCCATCTTGTTCATGACTTTGCATGTTAGGAGAGAGGTTGACGCAATCTCACCCAGGCCGTTGAGGGTTCCCACTGTATCCACCATCCAGCGGCTGATGGTATGGTTTGCTAGGGAGTCAAACATGCTGCTCAGGGCACTGGCACCAGCTGCCGTGCCAATCAGGTACTCCAGGATCAAGTTCCAGCCAATGAAAAATGCCACAAATTCCCCAACAGTGACATAGCTGTAGGTGTAGGCAGATCCTGTAGTCTTGGGGACTCGAACTCCAAACTCTGCATAGCACACACCTGCAAGGGACAAATAAAACAGGCAGTGGGCTTCGGGAGATCAGCTAACATCTTGGTGCCTGACAGTCTCAAGAGCCGATATTAGGAATCTCTGGGCTATTAGCACCAAACACTCAAAAGTGTATGTATAACTGAAAGACCTCCAACCCTAGTCTCCAACTTAAGATGTTTTCATGATCAACTAGGCCAGGGCAAAACAGGATATCTGTGGGCGGCAGAAGCAGTCTTGAGAAAAACACCCAGTCCTTTGTGGGGCAGAAACTGGCTGAAACTGGCTTAATCTAGACTTGTTTTTGTCCTGATGTTGACCCACCCCATATGTTAATTTGAGTTGACCAATGGTGTTGCTGTTGCTATGCTTCCCCTGTTACGTAACGTTATGTAACGCTGAGAACCTATAAATGCTTGCTGGAAAAATACACGGGGTGGGGGGGCAGTCTCATGGGAGTACCGGGAGTACTGAGTCGCCCGTTGGCGCCTTCGACAATAAAGAATCCTCTTGCTGTTTGCATCCATTGGCGTGGCTTATTGAGTCTGGGGGATCCTTCCTGAACCCTAGAAATTAGGGTCTTTCATAGCCACACATCACTTAATGATGGGGACATGCGCCATGAGATGTGTTCTTAGGCGATTTCCTTGCCGTTTCAGTACTGTGGTGTGCTTGCCCAAACCTATCTGGAATAACTTGCTACACACCTAGGTTATAAACCTTTATAAGCATGCGGATATGTACATCCAAATAACTATGTGTGATATATTTTACTACACCTAGGGCCATGGTCAACGAAACAATGTGGGACTAATCAAAAGCAGAAGAAAAGGCTGAACTGAAGAGGCACAGGGAATGCTGGCTGAATGCACGCTGGCGCAATGTGGCTGCTGCTTTGCTATAAACTTTTCTTCTTATAGGTAGGAGTGAACCTTAAAATATTAATAAGAAGTAGCGCATCATAAAGCAGAAGGCAGTAATGGGGTCATTTGTTAGCCTTATCAAGTATTATTTTGTACATAGCTATACATGTCATGCATGTACCCTGCCGGCGAAGTAGCAGTTCCATACCTATACCACCACAGACATGTTGTATGACAGGCATTACAGAGCTACAGCAGCTGCGTGTCCTAGTCAATAGCAACTTTTCTTATGGAACTGAAGTTATGTAAGTGTTTATCACTGACTGAAACGTTGTTACAAGGCAAAGGACTGCATGTGATACAATTAAGCCTATCACAGACATTTCTAATCTTACCTTCTAGAAACATAGCTTGGTTGTTTGTTTCTTTGGACCTTTTGAGACAGGGGTATCATTGTGTTCGAGGTTGGTTCTGTTGCTGAGATGAGACGCTCACCAGAAGTCTTATGGGGAGGAAAGGCTTGCACTTCCGGGTCACAATCTATTTTTTTTTTTAAGACAGGGTTTCTTTGTGTAGCCCTGGCTATCTTGAACTCACTCTGCAGAACAGACTGGCCTTGAACTCAGAGATCCACGTGTCTCTGCCTCCTAGTGCTGGGATTACAGGCATGTGCCTCTGTTATTCCATTGGGACACTTTAAGAACTAACCATGCCCATCCCAGCCACTTTTGACCCTCCCCTCGCCGCCATCTTCCTCTCTCTCTCTGGTGTGCGTGTGTGTGTGTGTGTGTGTGTGTGTGTGTGTGTGTGTGTGTGTGTGTATGTCTCTGTTTTATGTTTGTCTATATCTCCCTTTTTAAGTAATAAATGCCTAGCTTTATATATAGCCTTATGTCCATTTACTCTGCCGTTCACGGCATCCAGCCGCTTGACTCTGCCGCTCACCCAGGGACCCAAGCTGCCCGGGACATTTCATCATCATATTCTTATTCTTTTAAAAAGAACAAAAGCCTCCATGCCTGGTTCACAATCTATTTCCAAGAGAAGTCAGGAAAGAACTCAAGGCAGAAGCCTTTAGGCAGGAACCATGGAGCACAGGCTTTCTGGCTTGCTCTCTCTGGCTCATGTTTAGTGGCTTTCTTTTACATCCCAGGACCACCTGTCCAGTTGTAGCATTTCCCACAGTGAGCTTGACCTCCTCACGTCAATCAGGAAATTCTCTGTGAACAGTCTGCCCTGGGCCATCCCTCAGCTGAGACTCCTGCTTCCCAGGTGCCTCTCTGTTGTTTAGAGCTGACCAAAGCTAGCGAGGATAGCAGCCTTGGCCGGCCTTTGACTCACTCTGTGGACCAGGCTGTCTCTGACTTAACGATAATCCTACCACCTCTTCCTCCCAGGGGCTGGGAATATAGATACGCCTCACCATGTTTGGCTTCCAAACACTTTAACCATCGTACTCGGGAAGGCAATCAGCACAAGCTTCCCTGAACTATTGAGAACGATCTTTCTTTAGGAAAAACCCAGTGATTTATCACAACAATAAAACCTTAACTAAGACAGGTATGAATTGCGTCATTTTTACTGTGTACATAAAATTTTCTGCTTTTACAGAAACAATAGTCTAATTACAGAAAATGAAAATTTTACGTATTTTATAACTCTCAATTCTCAGTATCTCAATATCAAATTAGTGTAACTTTGGATTGTAATGTGCTAGAATGTTTGATTTTGCAAATTACTTCTGAGTTGGTGGCCAGTTCATAAAAAATTGTTAAATGAATTTTCATTGGAAATTGTCAGAATTTCTGAAACAGCCTTAAACATTTATGTGTATGTGTGTGCATATGTGTATGTGTGTATATGTGTGTATGTATGTGTGTATGACTGTGTGTGTATGTGTGTATGTGTGTATGTGTGTGTATGTGTGTGCATGTACGTGTTTGTATGTGTGTGAGTGTGTGTATGTGTGTGTGTTTGTGTGTATGTGTGTGTATGTATGTGTGTGTGTATGTGTATATATGTGTGTGTTTGTGTGTGTGTGTGTGTTTATAGGCCAGAGCACAACTTTCAGGAGTCAGTTCTTGTCTTCCTCCATTTGGTTCCAAGGCCTTGAACTCAGGTTGTGGGGCTTGGCAGCAAGCGCCTCTACTCACTGGGCCCTCTTGCTGGCCCATGAATGCAAATGGTTAATGAAGGAATTTCTAGCTCTCCAGTCTTCGGACCTGCGGGGCTGCACTTGGGTGGTGGGATGGGCTGGTGGATGACCCCGTGATTCTTCACCTCGCCATCCAGTTCCTGCTTGCTGTTCATTATCCTCCAAGCCCCAGCCACAAGGGGGAGTCAGCACCGGACCACACTAGTGATTTGTCACTGAGTCACAGGCACGTCTTTGAGAATGTCCTCACCAAATATGGCATTTTGCTGCATGGATATCACCTGTCTTTTAGTTTCCATGGAACATCTGTTTCTTTGGTACATTTTCGGTGGGGCGAAGAAGCACTGCATATATTCCCAGGTGGCTGGTCCTTTTGAATTGTACCTGGTACTGGGACATGAGGAGAAGTTACCGAACTTTCGAGGGAAATAGCAAGATTCCTGTTGGAAGCATCTAGTTTCTCCATGTCACGCGATGAACTGTCTCCATCTCAGTTGGCTCTTTTGAGAAGCAGGTTTCTGGATCCCAAGAAATACTTTTCTAGCCTCAAATTGAAGGGGCCAGGCTCAGTGAACTTGTCATGAAGCCTCTTCCCAGTGCTCTTGGTGGGTTTTCTTTCAGGGCGTGATGCACCCAGCTGCGTCTCCCTCCCACCTCACCACCATCATCTCTTCCTGAGCAACCTTGGTCACCCCAGTGCCTGTCACAGAAACCCAGGCGATTTTTACAAATGTGTCTGGAAGAAAAGCAATTTGTCTGGGATGCCTCTGTTTCTTTGTGTCAAAGAAGAGACTTATGATTTTTTTTTGCCAAATCAGTTCAGGGGCGGCTAGTACCGTCAGTCAGAGAGGGCCTGACACCATCAGTTATTAAACGTGACAGAACTCCAATTAAAGTTGGGTAGGTAACAAAGTTCCCCAAAGTCCCCCCAAGCCACGGTACCAATGTATCTATATTTAAATAAGAAGAAAGCAAGCTTCTTGACAGAAGAATTGACCCCCAAACCAAGTCGAGTTTAATAATTGGAATCACTAAGTGCATGAATAGCCTGCTTACTCTTTTTTCTTGAAATCACCATCTGTGAAAATATTTCTGAGCTTACTGGAGGTATAGTTTCCCTCACATGACACGTTAAAGCTTTTCTTGTGGTTAGCTTGTGCTATGGTTAGCAATTATGGCTCAAGCAGTGCTCACTATTGGACATGGTAGCTTGTACTTATAGTCCCATTACTGGGGAGGTGGAGACAAGAGGATTCCTGGAACTCACTGGTCAGCCAGCCTTGCCTGCTCAGTGAGTTCCAGATCAATGAGAGTCCCAATCTCAAAAATAAAATAAAAAAAAGATAGATGGACTCTGGAAATGCTACTGGAGTTGCCCTGTGACCTCTATGGGTGTGTGCAGATGTGCACTGTACACACACAAACACACAGATATGCACTGTACATAGACAAATGCACAGATGTGCACTGTACACACACAAGCACACAGATGTACACTGTACATAGACAAATGCGCAGATGTGCACTGTACACACACAGATGTGCACTGTACACACAGAAATGCACAGGTGTGCACTGTACATACAAACGCACAAATGTTCACTGTACACACAAATGCACATATGTGCACTGTACACACACATGTACAGATGTGCACTGTATATACACAAATGCCTACACACATGTTCAAGCATATACATATAAAGTAACAAGTTATAGACTGTACCATTTAAAATCAGTGTCTCAAGATATATGAATATGTCAATGTTTTTCAGCGAATGTATTCTAAAACAGAGTGAATAGCTTTAGGACAGATTTTTGCATGAGCATGAACGTAACAGGTCCCCAGACCTCAGCACAGCTGACACCTTGGTAGAAACCCTCAGACCTTGGAACCCAGCACATAGACAGCAATGCCTGGCAAAACAGGAGCTAAGATAGACCTAATCCACCTGCCCAAACAGGGTGTGCTGGGAGGTCCCTAAATGTACTC